CCTTCAAACGCTTTTGCCATTCTTTTCCCTTGGAATTCCTGCGATGTAAACGTCCCACGCCCTCGTCGTCCCTCACTTGGGCACCTCTGTTTCGAGACGTGCTGGAGCTCTGCCTAGCCACGGCGCTTCCCCCCCCCTCCGGCGTCCATTCCAGTTCCTCTGCTCCCACGGGAACGACGCTCGTGGTCCGCCGCCGCGCCATGTTGCGTCTTGGGCGTGTACCTCGAGCTTCAGGTGAACCTTGCGCGGATGGACTAGCGGAACCATCGTCGTCACTCGATAATCCCGTGCCCGCCTCGAGCAGGGGGGGTTGCCTGTGTAGCGCCAGACACGCACAAGCCGAGGCGAGGGCAGCGTGCGATGTTCCAGCTCGTGCCAGCCGTCCCCTCATAGCCTGTCAAACATAGGAAAGGGACGGAATAAGTGGGCTACACCTCGTGGACACGGCCAGGCGTTCCGGGTGACGACGGGGTCGACGCGAGATCGAAGCAGAGGAGGTGGGCCGTAGGGGCCGAGGGGCATTTGTTACGCCGATTTTTTCACGTGACTATGTCCCTTGTCCCCACAAACAGGCAGGCCCCCTTCTCCTTGTTCCGTCGTCAACCTGGTGGATTCCGTTCTTAGCTCCGGACATAAGAAGTTCCACCTCACCGGGTGGGCTCCCTCCAACTGCCCTTCAACCCCCTCAATCCTCGTATACCCGCCCTTCACATTGGCCAAAGGATCATGATGCCTCCGCCCCCATCATCTGCAAGCACGTCGCGTTCTGTTGTGTTGTCCCTGTACCGAGCGTGCTTGCGATGGACTCAAATTCCTCTGGTGGTAAAAAGCAAATTTATCGCGGGCGACCACCTCCCCTCTACTCTCGCTGCCCTTCAGCTTTCCCCTCGTCTCCTGACAAATAAGGAGGGTATTGAAGAAGCCATTCGCATGCTATTTCGAGCACACGCCAAAGAAATGGATGCCAAGGTGGTCTCGGAAAAAATGAATCTTGCTGTTGACGGGTTGCAGTATCTGAATCGGTTTACTCGCGTGTTGAGAGACGCGGAGTCCCGACGGGAGGCGAATCGGGCCCGGGACGGCCTGACCTTTCGAGTAGGGCAGGTTGTGAGGCATAAACTGTACAACTACAGGGCCGCAATTGTTGGGTGGGACCGGCGCCCTGCCATTGACGTGAGCCGGTGGGAAGGCGTGCTCGCCTCGTCCCTGGGCGTGAACCAACCCTTCTACCACTGCATCCCTGACAGCAACGACACCTTGCATTTCCTTGGCGGCGTCCGGAAGCTCATGTACGTGGCGCAGGAAAACCTGGAACTCTGCCACGCTTTGGAAAGCCGAATTAACTCGGACGTCATTCCTCAGGCCTTCGAATGCTTCGACCCTAGCACCCAATCCTTCCTACCAACAGAGCGCATCACATGGCAGTACCCGGCAGATCACTTGGTCCCCCGTGCCTCCCCCACCTCTCCCTCTAGCACCTTCAAGCCACGCACCTCAGGATTCAGCAGGAAGTTCCGGGCCTCGGTGCAGCGGGCCAAGGCCGTAGACGCCTCCCAGCGTGTACGGGCGGAGTTCGCTCAGCTGGCAGACCGCATTGGGCAATCGCTCGAAAGCCGGTTCGGCAATCTGGAGCGCTTTCATGCCCATGAGCCTGCGGGGATCCTCCTATCTTTGCTCGCTCGATTGAAAGAGATAGACGCCTCCTTTCCCCCCTCTGTTCCCTCTCTCTCCCTCCCATCCACGGCCACTGCCAGCCCCTGCAGCAGCCTCGAGCAGATACTCCCTGCCTATCACACTCTGGCCGCGTTCCGAGACCTCCTCGCCCTCTGCCAAGACGTGAGCAGCGCCCGTCGGTTCGCGAGAGACCGGGACGGTGTTCTCTACCAAGTCGGGCAGGCGGTGCGGCACGCAACGCTTGGCTACCGCGGTGTTGTCTGTGGGTGGGAGCGGTTTCCCAAACGGCAGCTCCCGTCCGATCAGCCGGACCTGTCGGCAGGACACCCGCACTACCGGGTCATTGTCAACGACGAGGACCGGCGCTCTTCCCCCCCCCCTCCGGCGTTGGTGGTTTTGCCCCAAAATACGCTGGCGGCAACGCCCGCGGAGGAAAGTGCGGTGATCAGCCCTCTCATTCCCGAGAACTTCCTTTACTACGATCCTGTGGCCGCGCGTTACCGGCCAAACGGGACGCTGGAGTTCAAGTATTCCATCGGGAGATCGCGTGAGGGTGAAAAGGACTACGGAGGGGGAGATGAGGAGGCAAGCATGGTGGAGGTCGTCCATCGCGTGCTGACCCAAGTCCTGGTGCAGGCACGGAGCAAAGGGCCCCGGCGGGCGGGTATGAAGGCAGATCTATTCATGCTCTTGCAGGGGGCCATGCGGAAAGAGGACGCTGACGTGGCTGAGTCCACTCTTTGGTCCCTGTGGTTGGCCCACACCGACGCTGACGTCAGCGCCTTTATGGACGATGGCATCCAATTCATGCTGCGAGGCAAGTATGACTTGGCGATAACCCGCTTCGATGCCGCCCTGGCCTTGGATCCCGGTTTTTCAGAGGCATACAACAAACGGAGCACTGCCAACTTCCTATCCGGCAGGTATGAGGAGGCTAAGAAAGATGCAGTCGTAACATTAAACCAGGAGCCCTCGCACTGGGGCGCGCTTTTAGGGCGAGGATTGATCGACTACGAGATAGGACAGAAGCTTCAAGCAATCAAAGCCTTTCGCGCCACACTCAGGATCCACCCCTGGAGCACTAATGTGGGCACTACGCTTTTTCACACGCGCAAGCAGCTGGAGACGGAGGAAGTGATGACGATGATGGAGCCTCTGTGATGAGGGTTCGCGGATGACAAGAAATCAAAACTCGTGTGAAAAGATAGGTCTAGAACAAGAACTGTAATTATACGAGATTACGGAAACAGACAAAAAATCATTTGCCGTTCGTATACATTCGAAGGTTTACTTTGAAGTTTGTACACCGGTGTCGAAATGCTCACTCTCGCGGATAGGGCAAGGCTAGTTTTTGCGCGTAATCTAAGACAGAGGTTAAGTAGAATCATTCATCGGAGTCCTAATAAAATTACTCCGAGTGCACACAACTTGACTTTAAACTGACAATCTAGAGCAGCTCCGGATTTACCTGATCAAGCCGAGGCGACTCGTAATTGCTGAAGGTAGAGAATTGATAAGTTAATGAGGGGATGGATGGCTGAAAATGCCGCTTTTTAACGCCTAAAAGCCTATTCAGCCTGTCTGCATTCTCGCTCACAGTAGTGCAAAGGATCCTCCCTTCTAACCCCGTCCTTTCCTCCTCGCCATCCTTGGTGGTCTTCAGTAACCAGCGCACAGCTCTACTATACATTCCCCAGACTTCCTCTGTGATAAATGGTGGATCAAGCACGACCATAGAGGACTGGCTTCTAAGCTCTTCCGGTAGTGCCCCAGGGTGGTTGAAGTCGTACATTATATATCCCGGGTCTTTGCTCCATTTCAAATCGAAGTCAAGCAATCGAGATCTTTTTCTTACAGCAGGTGAAATGCTAAAATAAATGCTTGGTGTACTGAGGAATGCGATGTTACCGCTTGTGTGTGAGGCTTGTTCTTCGACTTCCGCGACGAAAACAGCAATTGTTGCAGGGGAATACCAATACTGATTCATCATTGTATTCTGCAGGGAATGATCACAGGCAAGAGGGTCAATCTTAATGATGTAAGTTTCACTATGCACGCATTATTATCGGCAATCTTTTGTCCGACAGGAATAAAAAGGACGAGCGGGTTGTTTTTTTTACTCTTACCTCCGGGTTTCGGAAAAGAAAATCCTTGCTGGCCTCATCATTCCCATCTCCAGGTTCAATCTCAACAACAGGAATGTGCCCAAGCTCTGACATCTATTGAGGAGTATGTGGTGTCAGCGAGGGACGGAAGGGCTCTTGTACTAAGCGTTTATATTATTTTTCGTGGCATTCCCCAGCACCTAGCAATTTAGAAAGTGTGCCTCCCCCATCGAGCGATAACGATGAATGACTCCTAACTTGTCCTATGACAACATTTGGGTGACTTTTTTAAATAACTCTGCCCCTCGTAGTGAAGCGAGGGCTGGAAGACATGCCATCCAATTCGAAGTGTGTTGATTTATCTACCGTATTAACGTTTTTTGATTTTCAAATTCCGCTCAACCGCCCGTTGAAAGCAAAAAGATGAGAACAGAACCCAGCACCTCCTCGACCATCGTACTTATAATACATCATTAACTAATAAAACATCACAGTTCATCTACGAAAATACAAAAATTGCAACTTGGCACGAATCATCTCCTTTCTCAAATCACTCCTTTCAAAGTCTCCTGTCTAATGTTTTTATTTCTCCGTGGCTTGAGAGTATGCCCAGCGTACCACTTGCTGAAGAGCAGAGACGGTCGCTTTCGCCGTAACAATCATAGTTATCGCACTCTCAACAGGATGAGTGACGACCTCGTACAAAGCTCCTACGACGCCGTTGACGGCCATAATTGGGTCCAGCCCCGCCCTTTTCACCTGCTTCCTCCAAAACCGATACGTTTGTCTCACGGACAAACGAGTTACCATCCATGTCAAACGTACCACTTCCTTGCCGTCATGCACCCACACTTCTAATCCTGGTCCCACCCTCCTATAAATCGCCTGGGCCGCCGCGTCCGTGATGAGCACTCCAGGCAGGCAAAAGACAAGGACGCCGCTGACAGGGAGGAAGGCAGCGAGGGACCCGGTGGCCTTCAATGGGTGGGAGCGAAAATACTCCGGTGCGGATACCAGAAAATGGAATAAAAGGGGTCCCAACGGGTGCCACAACAAGCGAGAAGGTGGCCCCTGCCTACGGCGATACCTACCCGCGCGGGGGGGAGGAGCTGGTAGTCCGGAGCGAGATGACGCGGACGCCAGCCTGCTCGACTCGCTCGCCATTTCCGTGTACGATGCCGCAGATGCATTCTCTCCCCGACTTCGATACAAGGCAGCAATCTCCTCCGCCGTCGCCTCTTCCACAACGAGCTGCGCAGGCTCCTCCCTGCTTGCCCCCTCCAGGTCCAGATCCTTTTCCAGCAATCGCAAGGACCGGCGCGCCAGGCCTTCACCGCACTCTACAGTCATGCGTGCACAGAACAGCAACACCTCCGCGAGGTCCTCTATCTCCTCCTTTGAAAAGTCCACGCACGCGGCTTCTAAGTCCTTGAGCACCTCCAGCAACCCTCCCTGGGGGGCCCACTGTCCCTCCCCACCTTCTGTGCTCAGGAGCAAGCCGTCACCCCGTTCAAGATCCACACTTTCATTTACAAACATGTACAAGGGTTCGGCGCCAGTAAGTTTAGTCGTGGATCCTCTTTTGCCCACCTGTGTTTCGCTGGAACCCTCAGGGATCATTCCCTCTCGCACATCATCCAACGCAATTTCCTGGATGTACTCCGCACGCATGTGGTCTTCAATCCCCTTCAGACCATCATACAGGCTCCCAATCATCTTTGCGCTGTTTTTCAATGTTGTTTCCAATGCCCGCTCGCAATCTTTTTCAGTCAATTGGTAAAGTTTGTCAAGTAGTGCATCGCAGGCATCATGGACCATGCGGACTCCCGCCACGGCCAGACCCAGGTCTATGGCCGGCAGCATTACGATCACATCGTCTTCTCTTGAAGATTTCTCCATTCAACGTGGGGTCTTGATACCTTTTAAAATTGGCTCCACCTGAGAAAACCGTCCCCCTGCTATAGAAATGAATCGGGCCGACCGAATGAGTTATTGCTTTTCGAACTGATGGGTCGGCAAGAGTGAGGTAGCCAGCTCCTTGTGCTGCGTCTGGAAATTCAGTGCCACGAACGCTTTTCAACTACCTGTGGCAAGGACTGGGCGACCTTTTCAGGGATAGAAGTTCTTCCTGCCTGCGTCGCACTGCTGTAAGCGATAGTCGGTGGCTGGTTTGCTGGGCTCAGGACCGTCCTCCTTAGGACAACCGTGTTTTTCACAAGATAAGAAGCTTTCCACAACTCACACTCACTTTGTCTTACCCACCAGTCCTGCTCAGGACGTGCATTAGGCGACTAAGTCCGCGGGCGCCTCGTCGTCACCGTGTTGTTTTGTCGTCCACCCGCGGGTCCTAGCTACAGAGTCGCCTCCAACCTCCTGGCTGGTCAGCACAACTTCACTTAAAAAATGGTAGCTCTTCCAAGACATAAGCACACGCGGACACTGCAGCACAGTCGCCTTTTCGCTCCATATCGGGCTATTGGATGCATCACGGATGGGGCACCTTTCGGCATTAATAGACTAGGGGGTGTAACTTTCATCACCACAACGGTCGGGAAGGCATTTCAAGTCTTCGAAGCCGATAAGCTCCGAGTCGCAATTGTTGCACCGCCATTGCTCGAGGGTGGGAAAGTTGTTGGCATTCAATCGTTTAAGTCCCGAACGTTTGTGGCAACGGAGCGGCGCATTCAAGTGTGGGACCGCGTGACCCTGGTGTCGGGCAACCTTCTTGAGTGTGGGTCGAGCAAGGGCGAAGGAGAGGACAGCGACGCCCTTTTCGAAGATAGCAAGCTAGTGGCGTTGATGCTTTTGGGCGACGTGCTGCTTGCTTTGACAAGTCGAGGTCGGCTTCATCTCTGGAACGTTCATAGCCTGGAACCCGTGCCAGCCCCTTCGGGTGGACCCAATCATATCGAGATCGAGGGCGATTTCCGGACAGGTGGTGTCTTGGCTCACCCTACCACCTACCTGAACAAGCTGCTCATTGGTGATGGAGCAGGCCGTCTCAGGCTGTGGAATATACGGTCGCGGAAGCTTGTACACGCGTTTGAACTCCAGGGGGCATCAACTGGAGCGGCTGTAACTGCCCTGGAGGCCAGCCCCGCCATTGACGTGGTGGCGATGGGACAGACTGACGGGACCATCAGCCTGGTCAATTTGCGTTACGACACCCTGCTTTTCACCCTCCGTCAAGATAAAGTTCCCGTGACCTCTCTCTCTTTCCGCACGGACGCGTCCGCGGCGGCCCAAGCCTGTCCCATGCTCGCCTCAGGGGGTCAGGACGGGCAGGTCTGCGTGTGGGACCTGAAAGCTCAGCGCCTCCACTCCACGGTGGGGGGTGCCGGAGGCACTGCTCATCAAGGACCCGTCTCCCGCGTCTTTTTCTTCCCCCGGGAGCCCGTGTTGCTGACGGCCGGGGCCGACAACTCGATCAAGACCTGGATCTTCGACGCCGCAGACGGGAGCGCCCGGTTCCTTCGGGGTCGTGAGGGCCACACAGCCCCACCACGGCGGATCCGATACTACGGCGACGTGACCGAGGCTAGCATGGGTACCGGCGCGAACGCAGAAGGCTGTCAGATCCTTTCTGCGGGCTCGGACCGGGCTTTCCGAGTCTTCCACACGGCACGGGACGCCCAAAGTCGCGAAATGTCTCAGGGCCCGCTGCTCAAGAAAGCCAAGCAACTGCATGTACGCCCCGAGGAGTTGAAGCTGGCGCCAATCCTGGCCTTTGCCGCCTCCGAGACGCGGGCGCGTGACTGGTGTAACGTGATCACCTGCCACGAGGGCGACTCGAACGCCTATGTCTGGAAATTCGACAACCGCGCTCTGGGGAAGGCGGTGCTGCGTCAGCCTGATTGGGCCGGTGACAATGTCATGAGCTCCCCCGAAAATTTAGAGCGGCAAGCGCTCTGTGTGGGTATCACCGCCTGTGGGAACTTCGGAGTGGTGGGCACGCGGGGAGGGGTTGTCTATCTGTACAACATGCAATCGGGAGAGGCGCGAGGATCCTTTCCCCGGACGCGCGCGGCGAAGAGCACGCCGCACGATTCCATGCGTCTGGCGCGGGGCCAGGCTCGACCGGGCTCGGTATGGGCGGCGCACAAGTCGGTGATGGACAAGGGGGTAGTGGCGCGGAACTCCCAGACGCACGAGAAGGGCGCAGCCGGAAAAGGATGTCCTGCGGGTGCCAGCCTTCCTACGCACTTTTTTCATCAGGGCCATGGCGGCCCCGTGACGGGCGTGCAAGTGGATTGTCTGAGCAGGGTCTTGGTGAGCAGCGGTTTGGACGGCATGCTACTTTTCTGGGATTTCAAGACCCACGCTTTATTGGCAGTGCTGAAGTTGGACGTCGGGATCGCACAGTTGGAAATAGCCCGTGAAAGTGAGCTTTTGGCTGCTGCTTGCGACGATTTCGTCGTGCGTGTGTACGACATGATGACCCGCAAGCTAGTTCGCCGACTTGCGGGGCACACCGCGCAGATATCAGACATGTGTTTCTCCCGCGATGGCCGCCGTTTGGTCTCAGCCTCGGTGGATGCCACTGTCCGTGTCTGGGATTTGCCCACGGGCGCCTGTGTGGACTGGCTGCGTTTTAAGCGGCCAGTGACCGGGCTGACGCTCTCTCATACAGGCGAGTACTTGTGCACCTCCCACGTGGATCGACTGGGCCTGTACATGTGGGCAGATCGCTCATTTTTCCAGACGGTGGACCTGTGTAGCTCCGGCCCCCCCACTACGCCCTGCGACTTGGACGAACCCACAGTCTTGACAGAGATCGGCGAACTTAGCCTTGAGAATGGAGATGACAGTGCTAGGAAAGCCGAGGATGCCGTCCTGACAAGGGTGCCGCAAGCTTCTGAGGAAGAAGGGCTCAGCGACCCGCTGGCCATCAGTCCAAAGGAAGAGGGGCTCATTACACTTGCAATGCTACCCCGCGCGCATTGGCAGACCCTCTTTCAGTTGGAGCTGATCAAGGCCCGGAACAAGCCCAAGGAGCCACCGAAGGCGCCGCCGCGTGCCCCCTTCTTCCTGCCAACCATGCACAACGGGGTCATCCCCACGTTCGCCCCCCCAACAAGCGAAGCTGTCTCACCTCGCACAAATGGGAATACCGAGGACGGCGCGGATGCAGTCGATACGAGCGACATGGCACAAGCATGGTCGGATGATGACGATAAGAGTGATGACGAGAAACAAAGCAAAGGATTGTCACAACAAGGTCGCGCTGTCTCTGCAGCCCTGAATGCTGGGGCATTGCCGGCGGGGTCTCGCATTTTGAAGAGAGGAAAGAAGGGTGCGAGCCGAGGTGCGCCTGTGCGGTCAAGGCTTGGCGCGCTTCTTTTGGAGACGCAAACAGGGATACAGGAGCAGGATAATGCTGTCACCCAGCATTTGATGACTTTGGGTCCTCCGCAAGTGGACGTGGAGATGCAAGCGCTATGTATGGGAAATTTCGACGAAGACGGTATGAAGTTGCTGAGACTCACAGCCTCGTATCTGACCCGTCAGCTGGCATCACGACGGCATTTTGAAGCGATGCAAGCGTATCTGAGCAGATTTTTACAAATTTACGCACCAATGCTTCTTGAGGCAGGGCCAAGCATGCGGAAAGTGCTTGGGAATTTGCGTGACGCGCAGAAAGAGGCAAACGAGCAGATGAAGGACCTTGTACAGCACAACCTGTGCCTTCTGGGATTTTTCGTCAACCTGAAGGGCATTTGACAGGCCACGAAAGAAAAAACATCTTCGTTGTATTGTGGGATAGAAAATGTTTCTTTTATCTATCTGTGTCATTGGGCTACCCGGGATACAAGCTTTGACCAACATTCAGCCAAAGCAACCATCGGTGCTGTAACTTACGAGGCAGTCAGCCGTCCTTGACTGCCCTTTGCGTGCAAATTATACATTTAAGATTTTCAGACGCAAGTGCAACAAGATCTTGTGACAACCGCATGTGTGACTATGAACACGTGCATTCTGAGAAAACCAATAGAAGAGTCTACCGCCATGTGGACGGTTACATGTGACGGCAATCCTTTCTTGTGCATGATAAGACCATTGCCTCACCGCCGACAAAAATCCAGCCCTCCTCTCCGCATAATGCTATCTTCCCATTTCCCACCTTCAGATTCTTGGCCAAATTTAAAATTTTCTATTTGAAAAGAGGTAGCATAATCAACAAAGCTGTGATGTCATCTCTGTAGTCCCCTTCCACATCTCGCCACCTCCCTGCGGCCTGTTCGATCAAAACTTGGCAGGCTGCCGACACCCCCTTCTCCAAATGAGCGTTGACAATGTCCACCGCCTCTTGTGACGAAATGAATTCCCAAACGCCATCTGAGGCCAGAAGCAAAAATTTGTCCGAGCCGTCTTCAGCCAGAGAGTACTCCACCACCTCTGGCTCTGCGACCACCCCCACGCCCTTCACAGCCCGGTCACCAATGCTCCTCGCCATTGCTAGGCCCACTTGCGTATACTCTGGGTCTAGCCACACGCGAGCTGAAAGACCCGGCTCGGGCGATGGGCTCACGTACCCGCCATTTTTTATTATGCGGGCCATTTCCCCCGGCGAATCTGGGTTTTGATCCGTGGAGAGGTCGCGCGCGAGCAAGCGCTTCGTCCCCGCGGGGTCTGCCGTCGCGAGCGTGCACCGAGAGTCCCCTGCATTCGCCACCCAAAGCCGCTTCCCCTTGACCAGGCAGGCCACCGCAGTGGTGCCACTGAAGAAGGCGTCGATCCCTACCTCCAAATTGAGCCTCGAATCTACCGTAAGGAAGCTCTCTTTCAGGGTATGAATCATGTTGTCGTCACCTCCCTTAAGGCTCGAGTGTGCTTCCAGAGCGCGTGGGATCTCGTACATGCAGAACTCAGACACTTTATCACCCTGCTCGCCGTGCCCGTCAAAGACGGCGAAGAGGGCCATCCGCTCGTGGCCCGCGAAGGGATAGACGCAGATGCCACGGTC